TTTATAAAATTGATATTTTAATTTATTAATAAATTTTAATGAAAACCATAATACTTTGTCAAAGAAAAAGAACAACCTATATGCCTATTATCCTACAGAATAAATGCTTTTGTTTCTCTATTTCCTTCTGCCTATGTGATACAAAACCTTAAGACCGAAAAACACTTTAAAATCTAGTACTCCAATTTCTTCATTTTCAGATGAGAAAGAGCAGAGCTTTGAGGTTAGCTCAGGGTCAGTCGTCTTGTTGCTTCTAGAAGAAATCTTAATCCCAAATTAATCAAAGAATGGATGTCAATAAGATATAGCTCCTCAACTTCCATTTTTTTCTACTGAGAATATAATTTCAATGGGAAAAAATACCTCTATTATGTAATACAGTACTAGCATTATCAGAGGCAAATGTCTAGAGAATTACAGCTGCAAAATCTGAGTGCCTTAATACAAATTCCCAAAAGCCTAGGAATTTTTAGAACACAGATGTGAATTCAAAGCCTCTGGATTTCAGGATTTGAATTCCAAGTTCATGTGTTTACTATGCATTGTTACTGCCAATGCTTCCAGACTGTTGATTCTGGAACATACACTCCTTGATAACGACACAAATTATAGGTCTTAAAGGGAGAACCTAATTGAGGCTTTCTCTCTGCTGTAATTCAAAGAAATGAAATAGCATTGAAAAGGAGAAAAGTTTGTAAGGAATGTGGATGGCTTTCAAAACAACTGTGTTAAAAACAATCTGGATTCATGTTAATGGGGTTTTTAATGTGGCAAAGCAGAAAAAAAGGCCCAAAACAGGAACAGAAAACTCGTTCTGATACGAGTGAGTATGAAATACTCTCCACAGGCATATGGGCTTTTGTTTTGTTTTGTTGCTGTTGTTTGGATTTGTTGAGACAGGGTCTTTTTACCTCAGGCTGATCTGGAATTCGCTACGCAGATTAGACTGACTTCGAAATCCTGTTTCTCCTGCCACCCCTTTCCTAAGATAGCTTACTGGCAACGCTTCACCACATCTGGCTTTAGGCTTTGTCCCTAGCTGGTAGGGCTGTTTTGGAAGGTTCTAGAAACTAAGAGCTACAAAAAAAAAAAACTAAAAGAAGTAGGTCATGGGGGCAGATTCTTATGGGTAACTTGTCTCTGACCCCTTCTTGCCTCTCTCCTTCCTGTCTGCCATGAGATGAAGAAACCCCTCCCAGTACACTCTGATCATGATGCTCCACTACACACTGACCATAGGATGAGGCTTCTGATACCTTAGCCAAAATAAATCATTTCTCTTTTACATTGTTTCTGTCAGGCATTTGGTCAGAGTGATGAGAAAAGTAACTAATGCAGTTCTGTTGCTAACCAGGAAGGTAATCAGAGGCAAAATGTGTTATTTTTTTTCATGAAGTTAGCTTAGATGAACTCAGAATTCTTATCCAACTATAAAATCTACAATTCTTTCCTTTGTGAGTCAAAAGTATGCTGTATTTCAGTTCCTTGAAAGCACCAGGTATAAAGAACTGTCCTGACAAGGTCCTAATATCCTCTTCTCTTCTCCTCCAAGGTCAGTCCTGGCAACACTTTGGTAGCACCTTTCCTCCTTTCCCTCCCACCATCATACCTTTCCTGTAACAAAATCCCACTGTCTTTTTGTTTGTTTCATTGCTAGTTCTTCTCCAGCCACATCACCAACACCTTAGTACTAGCTCTTTTATCTGAACCACAGGATACATAACTGCTTTTCTAATGCTCCCCTCAGAATACAGTCTTCTCTGGAGAACTCCATTTGGTTTATGTGCTAGATAGTGTTAGTGTCAACTTGACACACCTGGGTTGAGGGAGACTCAAATGGGGAATTTCCTCCATTGGATTTGGCCTGTGGCCATGTCTGTGGGGCATTTTCTTAATTGCTGAGTGATGTGGAAAGGCCCAGCTCATTGTGGGTGGTGCCACCCCTGAGTAGATGGTCATGTACTATATAAGAAAACAAGCTGAGCATGGGCCAGTATCAGCATTACTCCATGGCCTGTGCCCTAGCTCCTGCCTCCAGGTTCCTGCCCTGAGATCCTACCTTGGGCTCTTTGATGAATTGTGACATGGGAGATGTAAACCAAATAAACCTTTTCCTCCCAAGTTGGTGTTGGTCAGAGTATTTTGTCACAGCAATGGAGAAACAAACTAGAACAGAAATTGGTACCAGGAGTAGGGTATTGCTATGACAGACCTGACCTTGTGTTTTGGGGAGGATTGTGGAAGCATTTGGAACTTTGGGCTGGAAAAGCTATTGAGTGCTTAGAGTTTATTGCTGTGGAGATTGGAGAAGTTATGTTGAAAGAGTTGTGGACGATGGAGGCCTTCCTTAAGTAGAGACTATTGGGGCTGTTTGTGTGATATATTGAATTGAATGGAGAAACTAGAACCACTTATTAAGATTTACACAAGAGCAACCCTTTATTTTTCTTACTCTCACTCTCTATAGTCAATTTATCAGCAGATCCTATTGACTTTCTAAGATATGTTCAAGATATGACCCGTTATTGCTGTTCCCACTGCCTTTACCCAGATCCACCTTAGCAATGTTTGTGACTTGACCTCCCCAATTTTTCCCTGTCCTCCATTCAGTCTACTCTCAACACAGTACCTACAGTGGTTGCATTAAAATGGTAAGTTAAGGATGTCACTCTTCTATTCAACCAAAATTTGTTAACATGACCTCCGAAGCCCTGGGTGCTTGGCAAGTTACCACCCTCTACTCACCTCTGTTCCAGCTACAAAGACCCTCTCACTATTCCTAAAATCAAGGAGAAACATGATCACTTGCAGTGACTTTGCACTTGCTGTTCTTTCTGCCTGGAAATCTTGTTCCAGGTAGCTGCATGGCCAGTTTCCTCACTGTGCCACTTGATTCCAGCATCGCCTTCTCATGAGCTCTCTGGTCATTCTGTCACCCTTTCTAGAACTGTGAGCCCTCACTTGTTTTAAACTTATCTCAGCACCCACTGTAGCATGGTTTGCTTGCTTTCATTTCATCACCTCTCTTTATTGTCACATCCCAAACACCTACATCATCACCTTCCTTGCCTGGTGGGTGCTCAGTAAATATGGGTTATAGAAAGAATTGGGGGGGGGGCTGGAAGGATGGCTGAGGGGTTAAGAGCACCCTAGTTCAGGTCCCAGCACTCATTTCAGGTGGCTCACAGCAGCCTGTAAGTCCAACTCCAAGGGAGCTGAGCCTTCTTCTAGCTTCTGAGGGCTCCACACACACGGTATTCACAGACACAGACACATAATCAAAAATAACAAAATTAAACTTTAAAAAAGAAGGAATTGTAGGAGACCTGTCTGTAACTAGGGAACATGTCATTCTAATGTGGAGACAACACGTAAGTGTCTTCTTTGTTCATGGCAAAACAAGATTCCACTAGCTTCCTAATCATGTGTAATGAAACCTCCAAGCTTTTGTTCATGTAGTTTGTTTTGCTTCTTTGTGTTTGAAGTGTCAGGGATGGCATTCTTCATTATTAAAGCTTTAATTTGATCAGTGGGGTAAATCACATCTTATTTTCTAAATGCTATTGTGTACTTGACTAGGTTACAGAGATAGACCTGCTGTTTTAGATAGAAAATCCACAATTCTGATGGGTGGCGCTCAAAGTCCCCAAAAACTTAAGACTTAACACTTCGAGGAAATATGTGGCTAGTAAATATACTATTTCAAGTGATGAAATCAATATGCTAACATCAAATTTATCTTAAGGGGTAGAAGCTCCATCTTGTTTTCTCCACTTTTTATCAGAAAGATGCACTCTGTGGCACATGAGAGAGGATAGGCTTATAAAAATTTAATTCTTAGTGAATGGATTTTATGTTTTCTTCGGGTAGGTGTCCCTGGCCGAATCCTGGGTTCTCAGGGGCCGGGGTTTGCCAGCCCAAGAAACGGAGAGACGCTCCCTCAGTGCAGAGAATGGAAACTCTGAGAGACGCTCCCTTAGTGCAGAGGATGGAGACACATCTCGGGTCCGCCGCGCCTCGGGTAGGGTGAGAGAGGTCTGCGGCCCAGCATGCTCAGGCGGGCCTCGAACCCGCTCTCTCAGGGACGGTGGTGCTGGCGGAGACCCGTTAGCCGCTCGGAAGGTCCTGGAGTCCAGCCGCGCAGCCGCGCCCGGCGGGGGGAAGGGCGGCCGGCGCAGCGTCGGCTTTCCCAGAATTCCCAGCGGCGAGGGAAAGTTTACAGGACGTAGGCGGCGGCGGTAGCGGTTCCCGGCGGCCCGCGGCCGACCATGGCCCTGGCCAGCGGCCGCGGCCTCTTCTCAGGGCGTCCCCGGGTGGTGGCGCAGGGCGGACAGACTTCCCGGAAGGAACTGCCATGCGCCTGAGTGGCGGCCGGCGCGCCTAGCGCCGCGAACATGCGGCGGAGCTTGCGGGCGAGCGCGGGCTGCGGACCGGGAAGGCGGCGCCGGCCAGGGAGGAGGCGGCGGGAGGCGGGCGACCAGCCCTAGCGGGGCTGAGCGGCGCGGTCACGGGCCGGGTCCTCGAGGATGCTGTCCCGCAAGAAAACCAAGAACGAAGTGTCCAAGCCGGCCGAGGTGCAGGGCAAGTACATGAAGAAGGAGACGTCGCCTCTGCTGCGGAGTGAGTGTCGCCTGCTGTGCGCCTTCCCCCGGGGCTGCGGGAAAGTCGGGCCGGGAAGGGAAGGAGTCCGGGTCCCTCTGGACCAGACCCTCAAATCAGAATCCCCCGTCCCCCGGACAGAGTGCAGCCCTGGGTGCGAGTCTAGATGGCGGATCCCCCTGATGCTGTCCGGCTGAAAATGCTTAGATTGGAGCACTACGCTAGGTTCGCGGGGTGTGCCTTGTTTGCCAACACCGCGGGTGTCATCGCCTGCCCTCGGAGCAGCACCAGGTAGAGACGAATTCCTTAGTCCTGCTGCGGGACACGGGCTTGAGAAGGCGAAAAGCACCTCGCCACACTTGTAGCCACTACCTAAAGCCTCGTTCCTGACCCAGAACAGAGAAACCAGTACGATTATTTGGATTAGACTTTGCTCCTAAGATTCCCCCAATGCAAAGTACTCAAAATAATTTCCACCCTATCTGGGAAGTCACTAAGCCTCCGCTTTCTAGGGTGCTCTCCCCCTCCTCCCCTGGTTTTTCTTTTTAGTTTAAATATTTGACTCTGATTTTTAATTGAATGTCTTAATTTTCTTTTCCTTCCATTCTCTCTCTCTTTCTCTGGTTCTTTCTTCCTTTCAATTCTTTTGTGTTCAGAATATATTTATGAGATAAGGAGCTGATCTTTTTTGTTCCTCACTCTAGGAGCTCAGCCCTTTGTCTAAGTTTCCTTCTTGGAAGCTGGTAATAACCCTGTGACTTGAATTAAGCATTACCTCATATTGTAATTGGGAAAGTTATTCATAGAGGCTTCTAGTATTTGTCCAAGATCATGCAGAAAGGGGTGGAGAGCATGTTTTTCCATTATAACCGTGTGTGTGTCCTCACAGATTGTAGTAGTAGTTGTAAAGTATATCGGATGTGTATTTCACTAACTTGAAACTTTATTTTTAAACTTGCTTTTAATGTGATTTTCTGTTGCACATGCTTTTCTGTTTTTATGTTTCTGATTGCTTTTCACCGCAAAGTTTATTAAACATTACTTGAAATCATCATGTTGAATGTGTATGTAAATAAATTGATAACTGCTTCTGTTACCAAATGTTGTGTTCCAATTTTATTCTAGTGTTAGCGTCTGAAGCTTAACATGAGTACCCTTGATGTCATTTACTTAATGAATTCATAAAATGTGCACTCTATCCAGATTTCTTCACGGTGCTTGCTTTCTTACCTAGCAAGCCTAAGCTGCTAGCACATTCTGTATGCTGCAGCATTATATCCAGAAACCCAGTATTGTATTTTGAATTCCGGGTTTATTGTTTTTCATCAGCTCCAACAATTTGTGTGCTTCTTTGAAATGAGGTCATTTTATTTTTTACTATTCATACCAAAATTTTTGACTTTTAGTTTGGATCATTGTACCTAGTGCTAGGAAATTAATTCCAAGAGTAGAAAAACAGAACTTAGTTTCTAACTCTTTTTAAAGTAATCGGCTTTACAAAGTGTTTGTGAGAAAGCTTTTTTTTTAATCTTTGAAATTGTGCTTGCAAGGATTTTTGGTTATGTTATAAAATCCAACAAAAATAACCAAACTGTGTCATAAATGATACTGGTAACTGCATTGACTTGTTAGATTATTACTGAATTACTGAAGTACATTCACTTTTAGCTGAGCTTGTACATAGCACATTAATGCAGATTATAAATTCATTTGCTTGGAAAAAACCTCAATTTAAAGTGCCAGTATTAAGTCAAAATGTAAAATGTTGTTATCTGCCTGTTGGTATTTTGATTTCAGGGTAGTAGACATAAATGAACAACTTTAGAGAAGTGTCCTTATTTCTTGAAATGGTGATTTCATTCTTTTATTGTAGATCTCATGCCTTCATTTATTCGTCATGGTCCAACAATTCCAAGACGGACTGATATCTGTCTTCCTGATTCAAGCACTAATGCTTTCTCAGCTTCAGGGGATGGAGTAGTTTCAAGAAATCAGAGTTTCCTAAGAACTCCAGTTCAAAGAACACCTCATGAAATAATGAGAAGAGAAAGCAACAGATTATCTGCACCTTCTTCTTACCTTGTCAGGAGTCTAGCAGATGTTCCTCGAGAGTATGGCTCATCACAGTCATTTTTAACAGAAGTTAATTTTGCTGTGGAAAATGGAGACTCTGGTTCCCGATACTTTTATTCAGACAACTTTTTTGATGGTCAGAGAAGACGGCCACTTGGAGATCGTGCCCATGAAGACTACAGATACTATGACTACAACCACGATCTCTTCCAGAGACTACCACAGAATCAGGGGAGGCACACGTCAGGTAACTTGACATTATAAATGGTACATTGATTTATATTTGTTTGTACATTGTTTATATTGTTGTTTCAGTGGAAAAGGTGATCTTACATGGATTTTCCTGGGAACCCACAAAATACTCCAGGAGAAATTTCTTCTCACTTTTCCAGTCTTGCTTCAACCTGCTTGCAAGTAATTATTAACTTATAGTGAATGGCAGAATTCTTGTGTCGTTTATTCTATCCTTATATAAACTTGGTGCTTTATCTCAAGACTATTGACTGTTAACACTGTGAACCTTAAAAATGTGAAGAATTGGGGCTAGAGAGATGGCACAGTGGTTAAGGACACTGGTTGTTCTTGCAGAAGACCCGGGTTCAAATCCCAGCACCCACATGGAAACTAACAACTGTCCATACTCCAGTTCCAGGGGATCCGACAGCCTCTTCTGTCCTCCCTGGGCACTGCACAACATGGGTGCACATACCTACATGCAGGCAATATATGCATACACATAAAATAAAAATAATAAATATTTTTTAAAATGTGAAGAATTTAATGTCTCCAGTGAATTTAGATGTCAGTTTGATAGAAGGAGAAGAATTGATAGAGAAAGAATTGGCTATGCTGGGCGTGCATAGTATGGGCAGTTACACACAGAGGTCTAACAGTGTTCTCTGAACCTAACTTTTTTGGGGGGGGATCTTTTTGAGACAGGGTCTCCCTGTAGCCCCAGCTGTCCTGGAACTCACTATGTAGACCAGGCTGGCCTTGAACTCACAGAGATCCGCCTGCCTCTGCCTCCCGAGTGCTGGGACTACAGGTGTGTGCCACCATGCCCAGCTTGAACCTAACTTTTTGTCGTCAATAATTATTTCCCAGGTTGGTCAAAAAGACTTATTAAATGGTTAATTATGTGTTAAACATGTCTTTTTGTTCTTTTTTTTAAAAAAATTATTGTTTTTATGTGTATGAGTGTATTGCCTGCATGTGTGTAGGTGCACCCGTGATGTGCAATGCCTGCAGAGGTCAAAAGAGGGCATTGGATCCCCTGGAACTGGAGTTACAGATGTTGTTCGCTGGTGCTGGGATTCAAACCCCAGTCCACTGAGCCATCTCTCCAGCCCATTCTTTTTGAAACAAGTAAAAAATAGTAATTATGAAATTAAGGAACAAGGGGTGCTTTCTTTACTGCCTGACTTAGAGATAATCTTACAAGGAGATTAGAGAATTGTTGTAATTTACTTTATTCCTAAAGTACTAGATTATCGTAGATAACTGGTACAAGCTAAAAATGAGGCTTTCTTGTTCATTTTTTTTTCCTGCCTAGTAAGCTGTAGACTTTAAATTTGGCAGGTTACAGATAAAAATATGTGACACAGATTTACTTTTTAACCTCCATAACTTCTATTATTACATTTTAACATTTTTAATTTATAGTCTGTGTGTATGTGTGGGTGCACATGTGGAGGTCAGAGGTCAAATTGTACAAGTCAGTTCTCTTCTTCCACCGTATGGGTCCTGGAGATTAAACTTAGGTTGTCAGGCAAGTGTGCCTTTACCCACTGAGCTATCTCACTGGTGCTGTCCCTTAACTTCTAATAAATTGTCCTAACAGTTTGGAATACAAAAAATTATATCATCTTATATTAAATGATGTGTCTAGCATTCTCTTGGGGTATCTTATTTGAAGAAAGAAAACCAATGCATATACCAAGTCCCTGAATTGGTTATACTTTGTGGTATTAATTAGGAGAGGGGCCAGAAGAGACCAGTGTAGGCTGGAATACTTAAGAATGTATGATCCATGTAGGATGTAGGGCTTGAACTGAGCTTTGAATTTGGCCTGTAGGTAGAAGAAAAACATTTTGGGTGGAAAATTGGGAATAACCCAGTGAAAACAGTAGGCAGTTTATATTTAGGGACGATTCCTGAAGAAATATGATGTAAGGTGAAATGGAGATTTGTGGTCCATCAACAGGCTTAGACTTGAGTCAAAGACACCATTGCACATTTCAGAAAGGCAGGTTAGTTAATGAAAGTAGTGCTTACAGATTACTTTTTACGGCATTGGATCTAGATTTGATAGAAGAGGATTGCTGGCACCAGTGGTGATAGAAAGGGAAAGGCAGATCTTGGATATTTTTCTGAAGGAAAAATAAAGGTTATGGGTTTGGGAGAAAGTCACCAAAGTTTGAAAATGGAATAGTGTGGAATAGTTAAGAGAGTTTATTTACAAAAGCTGACATTGTAATCTTATTGAGCATTGAAGAAGAAAGGTCTGCTGGCATGTAGACATGCCAGAAAGAGCAGACATGAATGCCTCTTTGGTTTTGAAAGATTAAGATAATTACATACTTGAATATTTATAGGTCATTTCATGCATTTAAACTTGAGACATGATTTGTTACCTAACTACAGTAAATTTTTTTAAAAATCAAGCTCATGTCTATTTTCTTTTTACTAGTTATGGGAAACTAAGTGAAGAAAAGTAAGAGTCAAGGACCTATCTGAGGTGTCTATTAGTCATTCTCATCTTTTTATATGCCAGTTTTTAAAAAAGAATTTATTGTGATTATGCTTTTTTTCCAATCTTCTGTTCTTTGTTTTTGTTTGAATGAAAAATTTAATGTTGTGTACCTTTTATGAGTAATTTTTGTAAGCCTATAATTTTCCATTTGGGGGCTTGTTTTCAGTGGTTAATCATCTAAAGCAGGTTAATGAGGGCCTGCTTCAAACACTTGGAAGGGGTGTGGGGGAAATGGGACACATCCAAATGGGGTTTGAGAGACAAGGGAGAAAGAAGTCAGATGTGAAGCACAGCACCTTGCTACACAGGGCATGCTCGAGAAAATAAATGACTGAGTGAATGAATCTAGAGTTTCAGACCTGGAGACTTACAACAGGTTTTGTTAGCTGAGAAAGAGCAGAAATAATAGCTGTGTTTACTGTTACTGCAGATTATTTGTTCGACTCTTTACTTTTCCCATCTGTATTCCAAGTACTCCTGATAGCATACAGTAATGGTAATTCTGTTGGTTACCATTCTGAAAATCTGAACTGTGAAATGCTCCAAATCCAAAATTTTTTGAGCATGAACATGACCACAAGTTATTTTTTGTACTTGTTTTTGTTTTGGAGTATGTGTTTTAAGATAGGAGTCTGACACTATGGGCCAGGCTAGCCTGGACTAACTCACTGTATTCCAGACTGGCCTCAAACTTGTGGTGATCCTCTTGCCTCTGTCTCCTTAGTGCTGAGATTACAGGAGTGAGCCATCATGCCTGGCTATTTGTTAGAAATGGGGCCCATGCCCAAGATATATGTGTGATGTGTGTGTGTGTGTGTGTGTGTGTGTGTGTGTGTGTGTGTGTAATATTTCACACACATACCAGACGCACATACCAGTTTCAAAATCCAAAACACTTGTGGTCACAAGCATCTGGAAAAGGGATCTCAGCCTGTAATTCTTTTCTGCCTGAACTTTCAGTATAGCAGTACCAGGTTGAAATCTTGTTTTAGCATTCTGGTTTGCAAAATATTCTTGAGGAAACACTAAAAACTAATACTAATCTCTTCTAGGAGCAATCTGACATAGTTCTTGTATTGTAAAGGCAGATTTTAAAACAACTTTCCAGTCGGGGTTGGGGGGACGGGACGACAGGACGGATGTGACAGGGACCAGGTACGGGGATGGGACGCAGATGCATCCCTGAAGCTCCTTGGCTAGCCAGCCTAGCTGAAAGTTGAGCTTCAGATACAGTGAGAGACCCTACCTGAGAGTGAGTGAGAAAAGAAGGCAGATGTCAACGTCAGTTTCCTGAGCCTCCACAAGCAGGTGCACACTAATTAATAAGCACGCACACCCTCATACACAGCACACACAAAGAAATAATGTACAAATCAGTCAAGCATTTTTCAAATTGAGCACTTTAAAAATGAGGTGTCACCAACACTTCCTTTAATGACAGTAGGCTTCCTTTTGGAGTCTTTTGTAAAAACCTTGCTTTTTAGTTTTTAAAAATGTTATCCATATGTGTGTGTGTGTGTGTGTGTGTGTGTGTGTGCTGTGTGTTCATGTGTGCGGGTACATGAGGAGGTCAGAGGACAACTTACAGTAGTCTGTTCTGTCCTCCTATCATGCAGGTCCCAGGGGTCAAACTGCAATCACCAGGCTGGGTAGCAAGTGCCTCTATCAGCTGAGCCATCTGGCCAGTCCTAAAAATGTTTTTAAAGGTAAAAAAGAAATAAAATTCTGAAAATCAAACTGAAAAATGTCAAAGTACTAGATTTGTATTTATTTCAATAAATATGCAAATATTTAATTAATCATCATTTTTTTGAGGGGAGATTGATAATCTTCAGCAACACAGCGGTTTGCAGAGGAACAGAAGCAGTTGACTTAGTTCAGTACTTAAGTCTGTCTGTCCTCATCCTGATTGTAACACAGGCTGTCATACTTTGTATCTATTACTGTGGTCCTTGTAGAACTTCATTAGAGCTCCAGCTTCCACTTTAAATAGGCACTGCAACCTTTGGAAACCAGAGTTTTTAAGCTTTATTTACACATGGAGCTCTCCTAAGTATCTGCCTGTTGTATAAGGCTAACTTAGAGAAGCTTGGAAAGACAAAGCGTTAGGTGATCTACCTTGGAAAATTCTGTAATTAGTTTGTGAAGGTTTAACCTTATTTTATACTAACGGCATATTTGTGCAGTAAATTATGCAAATAGAAGGTATTCATTTATGAATAAAGTCCAGTTACTCTTTTCTTGGACTAATTGGAATTACAGAAAACTGATTTTTTTTTTTTGTCTTTTTGAGACAGGGTCTCCCTGTAGCCCCAGCTGTCCTGGAACTCACTATGTAGACCAGGCTGGCCTCGAACTCACAGAGATCCGCCTGCCTCTACCTCCCGAGTGCTGGGAGTAAAGGTGTGTGCCACCATGCCCTGCTTAGAAAACTGATTTTTAAAAAAAATTGTAGTGTAAAATTTGAAGTCCTCATTTTTCCATGCTGATTAATTCAAAACTGGTGGCTTACTTGCTTTTATTAGTGGCAGTCATGCTTTTTATTGAGTTATAATTGATCTTTTGTTGCTAAAATTATATAGTTAGAATAAGTTTGTCATTTGATCTTATACTGTGTTGGCTTTGGTAAAATAACTTATTCGAACCTTTCCTTCCTTATCTGTGAATTGGTAGTGAGCACACTACCTCAAAATCTCCTGGCTGGAGTTCGTGGGTGGTGGTATGCAGTTTATTGCATGAGTTCTGAAGATGTATCATGGTCTCTCTCTTGTGATATTAAGATTGACCATAGCTTCAGATGTCAGCCGGTTTGTTCATCAGTAAGTTTGCCATCAGGTTTTTGCCTGTTGGTTTTTGGCAACCAGTCATGATCCTTTTTTATTAGGCTTTGCAAATTTTGATATTCTAATTCTTTCTTCTGATTTATTAGTTGGAATTCTGTAACAGTTTTCTTGTATAGATTATTCAGTTGTGTTCATATAGGAAAGATGGGATAAACACTAGATCTTTCCCTTTATTTACTATTTTTCAAAATAATGAAGTGGTATGCTAGCTACTTCCAAAGGTAAGTCATAAGTTTTTTGTGGGGTATCTTCATGAACTCATGGTTTGATTTAACTCCCAGCTTTATTTGAATTTAACTATTTTTTTCATTAATATCCGTTTTCTGTTCCAAGATCCAATCCAGATTACTACATTTGATTTGTCATGTCTCTGTAATCTTCTGTGGTCTCTGCCAGTTTCTCAGTATTTTTTTTTCTTTTTCATGACCCTGACAGTTTTGTTGAGTTCATATCAAATATTTTGTAGAACCCCCTCAATCTGGATTTTATCTGATGTTCTCCTCATGGTTAGACTGAACTTACCTACTGGTTTTGGAAAGGGAAGGTCGAGGGGAGAGAGAATGGAAAAAACAAAAATCTCACAAAGAGAAGTACACAATATCCATATGACATGATGTGCCAGATTTCTCTATTGAACTTTGCTATTTCCTGCTTTGCATACTCTGTGTTTGGATGGGAATCACTGTCACTCAAACTAACTCACTTTGAAGAGGGGTAGTGGATTGACTGAGCTTTACCTTCTGGACTGGTGACTATTTATATATGTGGAATTCTTTAAGTATCTATGTACATGGATCACTAAGGAAGTTTTCCTTTCTCATTCTGAGATTTCTATCAGTATAGACTCATATATGGTTATTTTATACTTAGGGTTATAATGTGATATCGAATCATTTATTTTATTGTGTAAGTTATTCCACTGTTGGACATTAGGAATTCTTTTCCTATGACTCCTTGTATGTTTTGCTTTGTTTTTTGAGTAGTTATTTCTGATCCTACAGAATGTTAAGCACAACTTGTGTTTTCTTGCCCCAGATTCAGGATTAGTCATTTCTTCAAGGTAAATTTGTAAACATCTGGATTTTGAAGTTTGTATTTCAATTATTGCTGTGGTAGGTAGTTTAGATGTTTAAATTGTCCCCTTTTGTGGACACTGAAGTCCCTTCAAGATTGGTTCCCTTTGATTTTTATTGTTCTTTGTTTTCTAATATAACTAGATGTTCCAGGTTCCTTTTGTGCATGTCCAGTGTCAGACCTGGATCACCTATTCATTCAAGGATCCCTGGCTCTTTAACAAGGAATAGTATTTGGGGATCACAACCTAGACTCATTGATACAGGGTAGATTATTGCTTCTAGACCTTTTCGGTGGACAAATCCAGGAAATACATTTTGGAGTTTGGAAATAAATTCATCATGAGTTTATATTGATGATGATTTAAAAAAAGATTTCCAGATTTTTATTTTTTTGCTTTAAAAAACTTTAATTGTGGTAGGTATGTATAAGATCTATCGTCTTTGAGCATTTCCTGTCCAGCTGTGCTTCGTTACCGTCCAGTATGCCCCCAGTGCACCGCCATCCTCACTGACTTGTTTTCCACACTGGAAATTGTAGTTTCTGTTGACAGTTACAAAGCTATGCATTTACTTTATCTGTATTGCTGGTTTATATTTCATAAGTAGTTTAAAAAGTAGTATTAGTATTATTAACAGTATGATTACTGAGTAAAACAAGACTTCTTTGCCGGGCGTGGTGGTGCATGCTTTTAATCCCAGCACTTGGGAGGCAGAGGCAGGCCTCTCTTTGTGAGTTTGAGGCCAGCCTGGTCTACATAGTGAGTTCCAGGATAGCTAGGGCTACAAGGAGACCCTGTCTCAAAAAGACAAAAAATAATAATAATAATTAAAAAAAAACTTCTTTGTAGTTTGTTTTTTCAGATTCACTTCTCAGTCAGGAAGTGTAATTTATTGTATCTAAAATTCATGTTGAATCATTTTCCTAAGTATGATTAAGCCATTCAGTATACTCTTAGATTTATTTACTTTGTTTTATTTTCATGTTTTTAATAGATTGATTCATCTAAATTTTCAAGTATTTTTGCTTTTTAGTTGCATAGGACATTTAAAAGTCTACAAGGGCTGGGCATGGTGGCGATCGCCTGTAGTCCCAGCACTTGGGAGGCAGAGGCAGGCGGATCTTTGTGAGTACAAGGCCAGCCTGGTCTACATAATGAGTTCTAGGACAGCTCGGGCTACAGGGAGACCCTGTCTCAAAAAGACCAAAAAAAAATTTTTTTTTACAAGGTGAAAATTATAAAACAAAATGTATTTATAAATTCTTTCTACCCTCATCCCCTTCCTCCTGTCTTTTTCTTTTTTCTTTTTGAGACAGAGTCTCCCTGTAGCCCCAGCTGGCCTGGAACTCACTATGTAGACCAGTCTAGCCTCGAACTCAGGCGTCCACCTGCCTCTGCCTCCCAAGTGCTGGGATTGAAAGGTGTGCACCACCACGCCTGGCCCTCTTCCTCCTCTTTGAAATGTTTCATTAATTTTTGTTGTATTCTTACATTGTAACATTTTATGAATATAGGTGTAAACATACACATATTTATACTTATCCTTCCTTTCCTAATAAATTGCATTGATTTTCTGTTGTATAAGATGTTACTACAAACTCAGTGACATGAAACAGCAGTCATCATTTGCGTTTATGTGGGTTGGATGTCAGCTGAGCTAGGTGTTTCTGACTTAGGGCCTCTTGTGTAGTTGTAGTTCAGAGCTTATCTCAGGCTGTAATAGCTACTCCTTTAGAGGCACATTCTTTATAGACCACTTTTTTTTTTTTTTAAATAAAAAAGCATTCTTTAGCTTTTAACAGAAGCTTCAGTTTTGGCTGGAGGCTCAGTTCCTTACTACCTGGGCTTCTCATGACATGTCAATTAGCTTATCCCAGTGATTCAAGGGAGAGCAAGTGAGCTTGAGCAGGATAGAAGCTGCATGGTTTTTCGTATCCTCATATCAGAAGTCACACACCATACTATTGGCCATTAAACTGTTATTTACAAAGACACAGACATTGAAGCCCAGAACAAGTTTGTTCTGACTACCACATATATAACATACATAAAGGGAGCATATTACCCACAGTTTCGACCCCCACCCCCACATCTCTCTTTTTCTCTTTGGCGGGGGTCGAGGGGTGTCCAGGCTGACCTTAAACTTGTGTCAGTCCTTCTGCCTCAGCCCTTCCACATGCTGAAATCACAGGCATGAACCACCATGCCTGGCTGTCTTTCTTCTTTTCACGTAATTACTCAGAACAGTAAATAGATTTCATTTTCATTCATCTGTATAGCTGTGTAGTACACTACTCTGGTCTGATCTGTGCATGTAATAGAATAATCACCCAATGTCTTAATACTTGGCTTATCTCTAGCCTTTCATTTCTAGATTATGCAGAAATGACTAACTAACCTTACACACATTTACCACTTGTATTTTGTATATAAGTGAATACAGTTTTAAACCTACCAATAACCTATATTTACTTATAAACTTACATATCCTCCTTTAGAATTTTAGAGTTTGAATAAAAGCATTTACCTTAATTTTAGTTTCTTCTGAATTACTTTTTGTCATTGATGTTTACATATGCACAGAAATGTGATTAAAAGGCATTGCTGCTCTTCTAATCCAAGCAGGGAATTCTGACATTTTAACATATTAAGATTGCCAGGATAATTTCAAAACATGAAAAATTATCCTTTTGCCTTTCCTTAAGCATTTTGCTTAGGAACATAATTTTAAAAACATTTCAATATCAGATGAAACTTGACTTTCTGGATTTTAGTGCCATTATTAATGGGGCTAAAAATTTCAATAACTTGTTTCTAGTTGTGCTTAGCATGGGACTAGTTGATATACATATATATATATTTTGGTATGTTGACCTTATAACCTGCTACCTTAATAAGCTTACCTAAGAATTCTGTGGCACAGCTAGATTCTTTTTAAGAAATTGTAAACTTAGCAATGGTTTTATACTTTTGCTTTTTTTTTAGACGAAATGTCAGATCTTAAATCTTGACTAAGGTGAGATTTTGCCCTTCCTCACTTTTCCTTTAGCATTATAAATATTTAAGTTAAATGGTTCTGTGGACTGGTGATGGAAGATTCAAACAAATAAACCAAAACTCATATTAATTTAAAAATCTAGTTCCTTATTATAATTAAATAATATCGGTGACTGGTTTTATGAAAAATTTTATGATGACATAATCATAAATCTTAACAGAACTAATTGAACATTTATTCATCTCCTCAGGTATTGGAAGAATTGCTGCTACATCTTTAGGAAATTTAACTAACCATGGGTCTGAAGATTTACCCCTTCCTCCTGGCTGGTCTGTGGACTGGACAATGAGAGGGAGAAAATATTACATAGATCATAACACAAACACAACTCACTGGAGTCATCCTCTTGAACGAGAAGGACTTCCTCCTGGATGGGAACGAGTTGAGTCATCAGAATTTGGAACGTATTATGTAGATCATACAAATAAAAAGGCTCAGTACAGGCATCCTTGTGCTCCCAGGTAAAGTATCAACTTCATTTTCAGTTTTTTGTTCTGAGATCATCTTTTAAAGTATGTTTTCTTTTTTTCAAATATTTTATTTTTATTTTATGTGTATGAGTGTATTGCCTGCATGTGAGTAAGTGCACCCGTGTCATGCAATGCCATGGAGGTCAGACGAGGGCTCCAGATTCCCCTGGAACTGGAATTAAGGACGGTTCGTAGCCGCCAGGTGGGTGCTGGGAATCAAACCCAGGTCCTCTGCAAGAGCAGTCAGTGCTCTTAACCACTGAGCCATCTCTCTAGCCCCAAGTATGTTTTCTTTTAACAACTTGAAAAACACATGTGTCTTTGTAATCAGATTCCTGTTGGATGTGCCAGAAATTGAAATTAGTAAAACATCTATCTCTTCATAATAGGTTAAGGCCTACCTCCTCCCAGGTCTGAATATACTTCAGAATTTTGACATCATCTTGCTGTTTCTATTCAACCTCAGACATGATTTTATGTTCTGTTTCTTACTGAAGTGGAAGTTGGGATAGGACAGAACATTCCAGATTTTTTTAATAGGTATCGACAGTACTTCTTCAGACTGTTTTGAATGATGCTTAGCCTTGTACAGTCTAATATTGTAACAAGTGTCATATGTGACTGTTTATCACTTGAAATGTGATTAATTCAAATTGATATGCTATAAGTATAAAATAGACACTAGATTTCAAAGTATATATAAAGCAAGTATTAGCTTAGTAGCGAAGTAGCAAGTATTTCAGATTAATCCTTTAAGCTTCAAGAACTGAGTAAAAATGGGTATAAAATGTCATCAGCATGTTGATGAATGTTGCCTGGCATCATCTGGCATAATACAAATTGTTGGTTATGGTGGATATTTGTAATTTTTTTTAGAACCATTAAACTCATGAAAATAAACTTCAGAATTATCACCTTAGGATTAAGTGTTATTATTGTATTGCTTTAAATATTTTACATTTTTAAATTTAGTGATTTAACTTTGAAAGTCTGCTTTTTCAGTGATTATATTTAGTGGCACTCAATTCAATATTTATTGAATAACTGAGGTTGTCTCCTCTTCAAAGAACTAAACCTACAGTTTACTGTCACAAGGTAGCAGAGATCCATATGAGTCTAATAACCAGATTTCAGAGCTTAGTTTTCTGTTCATCACCAGCCTTATAGAGTTTTATAGTTCACAAAGCATTTTCACAATTCATGAATTTGCTCATCTTAGCAACTCTGTAGAAGTTAAACAGGAGAGAATAAGCACTTCCCTTCAGTTCACATGGGTAGCATTAATAACTGATTGTATTATGCAATCCTTATACAGAACTTTTGACTTAATTAGCTCATTTAATCCTGAGAACTAAAAGTAAACTTAAAGCCGTGGTGTATACTAGATCTTATTTTTTAAATTCTTTATTTTGTGTGTATGAGTGTTTTGCCTGCATGTAAAGTGCATCTATGTGTGCAATACCCATGGAGGTCAGAAGATGGCTTCAGATCCCTGAAACTGGAGTTAACAGTTGGTTGTTAGCTGCCATGTGGGTGCTGGGAACCAAACTAGGTCCTCTACAAGAGCAGCAACTGCTCTTAACTGCTGAGCCATCTTTCTAGCCCCTAGGCCTTATTTTAATCTCAGTTAAGAAAACAGTGACCTTTCTTACATACACATATCTTGCATGTCTAGAGGCAGACCCCTTTCAGATTTGGCTTTGAGTCTGAAATAGCTCAGTTTGGTTTCCCAGAATTCAGTCTGTAGTCTGCAGGGTATCAATACTTTGCTCAGCATTCTCCCACATAACGTCTCATTATTCTGTAGCTATTCCCTCCTGCCTCAGTTATACAGGCTGTTAGAACTAATCAAAGCATAATTCTTTTTTTCAATTCCCTACGATTTAAAATAGGTTCAAGTCAATTCCCATTTGTTCTCCTAACCTGGTACAGTACCCAGTCCTGCTGCACTACATAGCCTACCTCATCCTTTCAGGCAGCAGGAGGAAGAAAAACATTTTTCATTTTGAAAGAAACTGTCAACCATATTACATAATATATATGATATATATATATATATATCACATATATGCTAATTACTAGTTATTTGCGGAAATTTATGCTCATAGTTTAAGCCTTTGACTTAAGGTTACAACTAAGACACAACTTCTATGGCCTTTGAAGCTGTCCTAAGAATAAATAGCAGCCAGGAGAAATGTCTTAGAATACATAAAGGATGACCTTAGTTTTTTTTTTAATGTATATTTTATATTTTTATTGAATTTTTGTGCATTTCATATAAAATATCTTAATCATCTTTATACTTCCTCCACTGGATTTCATGTATTATGTCATATATGTTAAGGCCTCTCGAGTCAAGTTAATATACCTAGGTGTCCTTCCATGCAAGTTTATCCACTGGAGTCTAGTCAACCTGTCTAGAGTTTCTCCTTTAAAGAAGATCAGCTCTTCCTCACCCAGCAGTAATCAGCTGCCAGTAGTTCTTTGACTAAGGTGGGGCCTGCTGTCCGTTTCCCCAGTTCTATGCTGGGTTTTGTCTGATTGAGTTTGCATGGGTCTTGTGCATTCTGTCACCACTGCTATAAGTTCATATGAGCAAGTTCCCAGGAGCCTGAAAGACTCTGTTTCCTTATGGTCATACACTACCACTGGCTCTTAGAACACCACCCCCCTTCTGTAATAGTCCCTGAGCCCTGGGTAGGTGAGTTTAGTATGGGAGTTGAGTCATATCTAGGGACATGTATTCTGCAGTCTCTATTTTCTACACTTTAGTCAGTTGTGGCCTTCTGTGTTCATCACCCTCTGTTGCATGAGGAAGTTTCACTAATGAGAGTTGGGAGATGCATTAGTATTCTCTCTGCCACTAGTTCCACTATCATCCTGGAGCCATAGATGAGGTTCCATTGTTGATGTGCCTACCTTGGGTTTTTATCTATCACTAGCAGCATAGCAGTTCCCAAGAGAAGATAGGATGTATTCTACATGGTGTGGCTAAAAACATACTTAGACCTTCATCATAGAAAGTTACCTTTCAGGAACGGAAAGAGTGCTTTTAAGCAAAAAAAACACATTGTTAAGTACTTAAATATTGTATATTCATTGTAATTTTTGGCCTAGATTGGAGGGCTTTTATCTTAATAAATGTCTGTTCTTTCTTCTTAGTGTACCCCGGTATGATCAGCCTCCTCCCATCACATACCAGCCACAGCAAACTGAAAGAAATCAGTCCCTTCTGGTCCCTGCAAACCCTTATCATACTGCAGAAATTCCTGACTGGCTTCAGGTTTATGCCCGAGCACCTGTGAAGTAAGTGAGCACATGGCACCAATATTTTAGGGGTCTCTGACCCACTTAACCTAAGTAGTACTGTGCTTTTCTCATAATAATATTTGGCTTCTAAATAGTATTTGAGAAAGGATATCAGAGCTTACAGAGTGTGAAAATCATTCATTAGAAGAATTCAAGCATTTCTGGATCTTCATTCCTTTGTATGCAGACCTCTAATAACAGGGATACAATAAGAATAGCAAATTTTGGTAAATTTTTTATTTCTACAGTCTTTGAAGAGATTAACTTATAAGTTTGATGTAGTACTTGTAACAGAAAAAGAATCCAGGTAAGTGCTTGGTACATTGGTGAAACAAAGGAAATCACTCTTTGAGATTTAAGTTTTTTTGTTAGGAATTATGCATTTCAGAGAAATAATAAGTAAATTAGCTGGACGTGGTGGTGCATGCCTTTAAGCCCAGCACTCAGAAGGCAGAGGGAGAGGCAGGCAGATCTTACTGAATTTTATGTTAGTGACACCCTGTCTCAAAAAGTACATGAATCTCTACAGGGATGGCAGAAGCTCTGGGAAACACTTCAAGTGTAATTGTTTCTTCATACAGGCTCACTGAGTATTTTCTTATACTGAGTATTTCTGTTCACAAGGAGTTGGAATTTCCCAGAAAAGAACATAAAGGTTTCTGCAAAGAAGTCAGTATCTATTAAAAATTTCAGTCCTCAAGTAATAGAAGTCCAGTGAATGTTTACCTTGTGATTTTACATCTTGTTCATGTATTTCTGGTACACATATTCAAGTTGTGTAGAATTGTATGCTTGAGCACAAAGCCTAGATGTAGCTTATAGTAACTGTTCAGTATATTTTGTTTTTTTGAAGCCTTATATATTTTTTACATTAGATAGGTGATCCTTTTGGAATAAAATGGCAAATAGTTAACAAAGAACACATTAGGTAGGACATAAGTGATTACTAAAAATAAATTCATGGGGACTAGCAAGATGGCTCAGCAGTTAAGAGCACTGGCTGTTCTTGCAGAAGACCCAGGTTTAAATCCTAGCACCTACATGGCAGCAAACAACCATTCATAGCTCCAGTTCCAGGGAATCCAGTGCCCTCTTCTGTCCTTCATGGGCATAGCACAACACAGGTACACTTACATACATGCAGGCATAATACTTATATACATAAAATAAAAGTTAAAAAAAAAATTCACAAGCCTGGTTGCACATGCCTTTAATCCCAGCACTTCAGAGGCAGAGGCTGCTAGATCCCTGTGAGATTGAGGCCAACCTGGTCTCTTTGGCAAGTTCCAGGCCAGCTAGGGCTACAGGGAATCCCTGTTTTAAGAAGACAAAAATTAATTAATTAATTAATTTACTAGAATTTGTAATTGAAGTCTTCCATCATGTCTGCTCCCCAGTGATTTGAGAGGTATGCTCTGTTATGTATATGTATGACTTTCACTCTATTTCCAATTCCTCTCATAATGGGTATTCACCCTGGAAAGTGCTGCTCTAAAGTTTCTTGGTTCATATTACTCTGTCTTTCTGAACTTTTAGTTACTAACATTTTTGCAAGCATTTGTAGGCGTTTTTTAGATTTCCGTTTTCCATCTGTAAATGGAAATTTGAATTAGAGTGTTGTCTGCATATCTCTTTCCTTTCAAAGTATAAGGTACTACTTTACTAGTTGGTTTTGCAGCTCCAGTTCATTATGTGATCCTCTTAACCACTGAACACTAGGGGCCTTCCATGGCAGATGCAAATATAATCTTAAAGAGTCTTTTGGCACAGAATTTCTACAGTTTACTTATTCTCTCATTTTGAGAAGAACTTATTTGTTCTTTTCCAGTTGATTTTCTGGTTTTTAATTCCAGCTACTCATCCTTAGGAATATTTGGCCTACAAATAATAGTTCATCTTCCTTTTCTGTTCCTTTGTTTGCTGTACTAAACAGCATTCCACATCCAGATCTGTCAGTACTAATGACAAATGACTTATCCCATTTTTCAGCATTTAATACTTGGAAGCACAGTGTGCTCTTATGCATTCTTAAGTTCTTGAAATTAACTTTGGGTGACTGTATGAAGAGAATGGAATGTTTATCTGTTGTCCCAGCTACTGAGAAGGGTGAGGCAAGAGGATCACTTGAGCCCAGGAACTCAAGACTAGCCTAGGCAACATAGTGGATTTTCAGCTCAAAACAAAAACAAAATAACCAAATCACTGAACAAACGAAAGTGTGTTTAAATAGGAAGCTTAAATAACTCCGATATCTTTAAGTAAAACTTAGGTTTGTTTACTTATAATAAAGTTAATGTTCTAATATTAATAATATTTTAAAACAGATACGACCACATTCTGAAGTGGGAACTCTTCCAGCTGGCTGACCTGGACACATACCAGGGCATGCTAAAGTCACTCTTCATGAAGGAACTGGAACAGATTGTTAAAATGTATGAAGCCTACAGACAGGCTCTTCTCACTGAGTTGGAAAACCGCAAGCAGAGACAGCAGTGGTATGCCCAGCAACATGGCAAGAATTTTTTAAGTTAACTTTATAAAAACAAAATTCAAGTTTTATAAGAGCTTTAAAACATTTTCACAGGTAAAATGACTGCAGACAAGTACTTTGGTAAATAAAGGCAGCTTACTATTTAGAAATTATAAAATTCTAGTTTTACATATATTTTGTTAGTGGAAATTTTCTTTTGAACCAACAAAAGTTTTATCACTTTAAGAGCCAACCCGGCATACACTTTCAAATGCTATAAGGAAACTGCTTTGAATATTCTTGATGAAAAGAGTGTGCAGCAAGAAATCATTATAACCAGATGCTAAACAGGAAATGGTCACTTGATTACTTCTTATAGGAGCACACCTTTTCTTTTCTAAGAAAAAGAGGGAGAGAAAATCTGTACTATTTTTAAAAAGTTGTTTACTGCTTTAGTGTGGAGTACTGTCTGGAATGAGGTGGTTAACGTTTACCATGGTGTAGTTCAAAATACAAAACAGGGATGGGAGCCTTTATTGTGATAAACTTCTGTATGATGTATGTGAGCATCCGCTCTGCTCTCTGCAGTGTGAGGAATACCTTTGTTTGAAGCATAGTGAAAAAGTTTTTCAGGACTTATTTAAACAGAAGGCCTTAGCCTGTGTGGGGAAGGCATGTACAGCACTTAGGAGTTGCTATCCTTTCAGCCAGAACTCCTGACTCGCTAGCGTGGCTCTGACAGAGTTTCTGACAACAAAGCACACCGCCTTCCCACCGGCTGGGTTAAGTTGCCAAAGTGACAATCAGGGATTCAAAAAGAAATCTTGGTCATTTAAATAAATTTTGTATTGATCTTTTTGATCTTGGAGAGGATTTGTCATAAAACTTTAAAACCATGTGTTTCCCTTCCACTTTTCTTGCTTTTGGTTTAGTCATTGTTCATAATTATCAGCAAACATTTGATTATAGATAAATTTGTAATACTTCCAGGCTGTAAATCTCTAGAATTCTGTGAATTTCATAGCTTTGCAGTGATACTTACATGTGTCGTGAATATGTAAATATATTTTTAGTTTCATTTTCCAAAATACAAGCACTCCTAGTTAGAAGTGAGTTTGAATTATTGAGAAAATGTTGTTTGATTTTATATAACGAACTTATTAAATATATTTTTGTGGAAACTGGTGTTTGAGCCTGTTTTAGATTGTACAATACTTCATCTGCAATATCTGTCCAGAGGCCCATTAGTCATAATAAAAGGGACATAGAAAAATTAAAGTGCAACTGGTAGAATTTTATCAGTGGTAAAAGAAAATTTACTAAGGTTTTCTAAGATATAAGTTGGTATATTTTATGAGCTTGTACATATTCTTCTGTTTTAATCATTCTTTCCTGATAGTTCTGAGTTAAAATACCTATTTTGGATCTCCAAGATAAGAGGCATTACTTTTTTTTTTCAATTACTATGTACTCCCATTTTTTTCCTCCTAAGAGGTTTATTTAACGAAACCCCGGAAGATTTTAATCATTAGAAGTACATTGCAGAATTGCTGGTTTAACAAAACTGGAAGGATGCTGTAAGTGGCGGCACATGTCTAACAAAACAAAACAAAGATCAAAGAACAGAAAGGTATCTGATGCAATTAGTGTGTGTTTCTTAAATGGAAACAAGTTTGAAATGGCATCAGAAATAAAGAAACTGAGTCTTGAATTACAGTAGAGATACCTTCACTCTACATCAACACCTCCCAGACAATTCTAGATTTAGTAAGCATTTGTTTAATGTTAGGAACCAGAGCAAATTTTAATAGCTCACATGTTAAAAGAATAAACTTAGGAAGAATACATTTCTTGTGTACCAAATGAAAAAATATACGATGCGGTGAAACTCAAACAATATTTACAGAGTTTTTTGTGCATTTTTGATCAAGAGATTTACATTCTATATTAAGTTATAACTATAAAAGAAAATGAATAGTTTTTGGTAAAGCACTGTTAAGCTCTTAAATATATTTCAAAATAAGAGCCTGTGGTATAAGATTACATAGACTAAAGCCTGCTGAGTTATGATGCTGTGCTTTAACAAATAGCTATGTGAAATAACTTAATGAAAACTAATTAAATATATGCAAACTTGGTGTAATAACACTACATAATTTAATTGTAACCCAGTAGTAGAACTTTGTAAAGTCAAGCAGGACACATCTACTGTCCTCATAGATTTAGAAATACCTGAAATGGTAACAGCATATTTAAAGACAAAATTCAGAAAACTGTACATGTTAACAAATAACCATGCACACATACGTCTGCTTATTAAACACTGAAGTAAAAGAACTAAACTGTTTTTGCAGTCCTCAGAGCTGTTTGGTATTTTACTTTTTCTGATGGAAGCACTTTAATGTTTGCATGGAAACAAAAATTTTATATTTAACTGACAAATGGTCATGCACCTGTATTTTTTTTAAATTGGATTAAATTTTCTTCTTTTCTGATTGTTCAGTAGGTTCTGACTTTGGTGCAGGAAAAGCTTGATGATACAGATGTCTGTGGGTTGCTGCTGCACTGTAAAGCTTGTATAAAGCCTATAATACAGAAAGAGTCATGGTTATGAAAGATTAAGCACACAGATACAATTTCTTTTCCTTTTTAGCTTATAGTACTACCTAAAATTCAGCATGCAGAATTTATATATATTTTTTTGTATGAATGTTTTGCCTGCATGTATTTAAGTGTATTCATGTGTGCCATTCCTGTGAAAGCCAAAAGGGGTTGTCAGGTTCTCTGGAACTGAAGTTACAGATGGTTATTAGCCACTACGTGGGTGCTGGTAACTAGAGTGGGTCTTCTGCAAGAGCAGCCAGTGCTTTTAACTGCTGAGCCATCTCTCCAGCTGTATATCCTTTTCTTCTTCTTCTTTTTTTTTTTTTTAAAAAAAGTAAAATTGTCTTTGTGAGTGTGGTGTGCATGCATGTGTATATGCATGTTCATGAATGTGGGTGTGGGTCCCCATGTGTGTGGAGGCCCAAAGTTGGTGCTGGGTGTCCTCCTTTATCACCTTCCACATTATGTACTGAAGCAGAGTCTCAGTGGAGCCCAGAGTTCAACAATTTGGCTAGTCTAGTCAGCAAGCTTGCCATCTCTGCCCCCTAAACACTGGGATTATAGGTGGGCCATTCTATCCACATGGCATTTATGTGGGTATTGGGGATCTGAACTCTGGTCCTCACCATTTTGTAGTAAGGTCTTTACCCACTGATATATCCCCTCAACCCTGAACTGATTGATACTCTTTATATCATTACTGTATGTAAAGCATAAACTAGTAACTAATACCTTAAAATGGAAAGTATTTTCAACTGTCCAGCATGTTATCACTCCTGTGAATTGAGCTTCATGGTAAGTTTTTCACTCAGACTGCATTTCTTTTTGCTTTGCATACCACTTGGAGCATAGCTTCGCAACCCAGTAGCTTTCCATGTCCCAGGGATACATAGACAACTCATTGTGAATATCACCAATTTTAGACAAGTTGTAACTTGTTGCTGCCAATATATTTTCCAGAATGTGCCACTTCTCCATTCTTACACATGTGCTTGGTCACTCAGCTAAACTTACATACACACACACACACACAGAGAGAGAGAGAGAGAGAGAGAGAGAGAGAGAGAGAGCGCCATGCTGGGCTCCCTTACCTCATCTCTCTTGCTTTGTTTACATTACACTGTTCTGACTGCACAAAACCTTACTCAGAAATTCTACCTCAAAAAGCCTTCCCTCATTGAAATTAACTCTTCGGATTGTTGCTTGTATTTTAATGGTGTTTGAATCAAAGGAATGTTACTTTTTTTGAGATAGTTTCAATATAATCCAGGTTAGCTTCAAAGGTCAAATTCATGCCTTCACCTCCTGAGTGCTGGGACTACAGGCATGTGCCACCACAACCAAAAATAACAAACACCATGTGTTGTTTAAGTGGTCGTGAGTATCTTAGTTTTTCCCATTAGCTAATATACAAGAATTTTTCCCTTCACATACTTAACACTCAACTAGGACTCAGTTCTAGAGTCTGTAATAGACTGTAATTAGTTCTGTCATATTCTGATCTTATCTTAGTATATTTGTTTTCCCAGTTCTCAAAGATTAGATCCCTGCCCCCCGCAAGGTTTTATTTACAAAGTTGAAATTCGTTTTTGTTATTTTAGTGAATTTGTTTACTTGCACATAAAGGAACGCCTATTGACTTGTAAATATTGAATGTCTCATTTGTACTTGATTAGAGGACATAATCCAATTGTATACTCCATCAGAAACAGAATTATTTGCAGAAACAGAATTATTTGTTGTCTCTAATTGCTCAAGATCAGTTTTGATGATGATGACATAACACAACTCTATAGACATAATTTTTTTGTGTGTGAGAAATGATTTCTCTTTGGAGGCTCTGCTTCTCTCTGTATGTACAGTGTGGTACATGCAGAACAGTAGAAGAAATGGAAGGATTTCACAGGTCAGTGCTGACGTACACCAAAGAAGCTTGAATGCTTACTGTAACGGGCCTACACAGCTGTTACTCATAAGCCAAAATTAAAAACTAAAGGTGCTAGCATTTAAATACCCTCTGCGATGAAATTTACTCAAACTACATAATTCCTGGCTTCATTCTGAGAGGGCGGAATAGACCTGTGATGGTTCATTCTCATTGTCAACTTGACAGGACTTAGGATCACTGGAAACGTCTATAGGTATGTCTATGAGGTGGTTTCCAGAAACATTAACTAGGAACAGAAGACCCACCTGCAATGTGTGCAGCACCCTCCCTGAGCTGGGGTCCCAGGCGGAATATAATGGAGTGAGCTGAGCACCAGCATTCATCTTTCTCTGCTTCCTGACTGCGGCAGTATGACCAGCTGCCTCGTGCTCCTGCCACCACACCTTCTCCACCATGATCTCAAATGAAGCCTTTCCTCCCTTAAGTTTCTTTTTTCAGGTATTGTTTCACAACAATGAGGAAATTAATACTATATTAGAGCTTAAAACTTGGGGGCTGGAGAGATGGCTCAGCGGTTAAGAACACTGACTGTTCTTGCAGAAGACCTGGGTTTGAATCCCAGCACCCACATGGCAGCTAACAACTGTCTGTAACTCCAGTTCCAGGGGACAGCCTCTTCTGTCCTCCGTGGGCATTGCACGACACGGGTGCATTTACATGCTGGCATAACACTCATACACATAAAATTTTTTTTTAATTAAAAAAAAAACTTTTTGGAATTTTGGAGCTGGAGAGCTGGCTCAAGTCAAGAGCACTGGCTGCTCTTGCAGAGGACCCAGGTTCAGTTCCCAGCACCCACATGTTGGCTAACAATTATCCTTAACTCCAGTTCCAAGGGCTCTGATTCTCTCTCTTTTCTGGCCTCTGTGGGCATTGCAAGCACTGGTACATTTATATACATGCAGGCAAGACACACCTAAACATTTTTTTTTTAATTTGAAATTTTCTACATACTCAGGATCTAAATCAAGCACTTTTTCATGACAATTCTGTGTACACATCAAATCTTCCATAATTGGAATGTGTTAAAAATTCATAAAAACTTAGATTTTTAGAATAAAAGTGTGTTCTGAAGATTAGACTCTACATTAAGATATACTTTAATGCCCAATTGATAAAATATCATAATTTTTACAAGTATTACCTCTTTAATTAAAAAAATTAACTTACCTCATTTGTACTTCCCTGTAGCCAAGGCAATTTTAAAAGAAAGAAAGAAAAGTATATATCTTGCTTAATAGCATTATGGTATTCAACATTGTTTACAGTATTAATTGTGAGTATTAAAAAATGTGAAGACTTTTCAGTTTAGATTCCGTATTTTATCAAAATATAAAATATTCTGAAGAACCCAATTCTATATTCCTGATAGGTTTCAGCACTGTATATTCTAGTGGGGTTTTGAGATTTGCCCATCTTCAGCCTTTTGTGCACGAGACTACTGAGATAAGAGTGGCCCAGGATTCAGTTTGAATTCATTCATTTCCCATTAGTTTTTTTCAACCAGATTCTCCAATGTCATATAATCCATTAGTTAGCATGCTATAGAGAGTACACACAAGTGTGCTCCTAATGCTAGGAGAATTGTAGCTATCAGCTACCTATAGACCAGGATTTAAAAAGCCTAAATAAAAAATTCTGTGGAAAATTTTGCTAAATTTTCACCAAGTGACTAAAGATACTTCTAAAATAATAAGCCAGTGAGTTGATTATTGGTCTCTATAAAACTGTCCTGTCCCTAACTGGTTATTTGGACAGTGTACCATGGCACCCTGAGGTACCCCAAGTAGGCTACAGCCACTTGGATTAGAAAGAGCCAAGCACCTGGCTCACAAGCAGCTAGTTGACTACTGGCTATGCTGTGGCCTAGTGCAAAAAGTCTAGTTCAAAGACCATCTGAAGTAATTTGATCCTGTTTGCAGGAGTTTATACTGAAAAGGGGTACTCTGATGACCAAGTGAGTGTGCCCTCATAGCCACGCTAGTCCAGTGACACACAGCTAAATAAAACTGTTTTCTCATACTTCTAACAGTATAAGCATTTTAAGGCTAAAAAAAGTAAAAACATTACTTATCCCATAGTTTTTTTGGTTTTGTTATTTTGAGACATGGTCTCCCTGTAGTCCCAGCTGGACTGAAACTCACTTTGTAGATCTGCCTGACTCTGCCTCCTAAGTGCTAGAGTTAAAGGTGGATGCCACCAGCCTGACCAATCCATGTATTATTTTAACAGTAAAATGTTAACTGGAAAACAGTTGTATAACTGTTTAACTGTATATACAGTATAAACAGTTGTATAAACAGTTGTATAACATGCTGATTATAGTTATTTGTATCTTGCTGTATCATAACATTTTAAAGATTGGGCCCAAGTCATGTTCACCTGTATATTTCTGATATTGAATACAGCACTTATTACATAGATGATATTCTAACGTGTGCTGAATTAATGAAATTAAAAGTATTCTTACCTGATCCCACAAAGCTGCAGCTACCTGATCTATTACAGCGCCCAGCTCTCGATATTCTCCAGAGTACCGGATATACGCCCAGGTGCACAATGTGATTAGGGTCAGTCCCATTATCATATTGCATAGGCTAGCTATGATGTCCAAACCAATGAATCCAGTCACACCAGCAATCACATATGTGATAAAGATGACAACAAACAGTGTGGCTGGCGTGCGAGCTGCATGGAAGATATTTTTGCTGTCGTTGTGCTTAATGTACTGGATGTAGAGTTCATCTATTTCACTCTCCAGTTGCTGCAGGTAACGTCGGCTGAATTCTTCCCCACCCATCTTCTTCACCCCTCGGAATAACTTGACAGATTCTTCTTTCAGCTGCAGGTGCTTGGTCTGCAGGTCATTAGGGGCCAGAAATGGTTTGTCGCCACCACAAATCTGTCAGAGAAGTATTTGTTCATGCAATATGGAGTAAATTTAAAACTACATCCAACATTTTTACCTAGCTAGTTTCTTAGAAAACATTGTAATGCTGCAGAAGAATGCAGTTCTTTTTATTCAGTAGACTGCATCTATCACCTGCTAACAACACAGCTGGTGGAATGTCTTTAGAACAAGCCACTACTGTTTATGGTAAAGTGTGTATCAACAATCTATTACATGGCTAGCTGTTTAAAAGTATAGCATATACAATGATGTGTAATACATAATTCTTCATTATAACTATTATTTTCTATTTGTCATACTATACATTTCATCATTATTTTAGAGTATATTTCTACTTATAAAAATTCACTGTAGGGGCTGCAGAGATGGCTTAGTGGTTAAGAACACTGGCTGTTCTTGCAGAAGACCTGGGTTCAAATCCCAGCACCCACATGGCATCTAACAATTGTCCATAGCTCCAGTTCCAGGGCGTCTGACAGCCTCTTCTATCCTCCTGGGCATTGCACGAAATGGGTGCACTTACCTACATGCAGGCAATACACACATATACATAAAAATAATATTTAAAAAAGTTCACTGTAACATAGTACGCTGTGTGCCAACCTCATGCTTCTTCCTGTGTTTACTACATTTCTTTACTGCATCAAGAAGATATGTTGAGTGATCGACCTATAACATCTAGGTTTATGTAAGTACACCGTGATTATGCATTTCTCAAAACATAATCGTTGTCATTAAGCAACACAGAACTATATTCAGAAAGGAGGCTGCATATGTGTTTCCACTCCACACCCATCTACCCCATATTCATGAGACATTAACTATTAAGTGTACCTGACATAATTGGATTATATAATAGTCATTCTTAATTTTTCTCCATTTTTTTTTGGAGACAAAGTCTCATTGTGTAGCTCTGACTGGCCTCTAACTCACAGAAATCCACCTGCCTCTGTGTTGCAAGTGCTGAGGGTTCCTATTCTTAAAGCATTTTGGGAACACTAGATATGTGATACAGATACATATAAATTGAGAAAAAGGAAGTTAAAGCCAACTCTTCTCATTTGTATACAGTGCAATATGACATTTAAAAAAGAGTTCAATGAGACCTGACTCGCCGGCCTCTCTCTGGACCAACCCACTTCCTCAGTGCAGTCTCCAGAAGCACTTGGGGCCTCTTCCCACCCCCATCTCCCTTTGCATATCTGGGCAGCACAGCCACCAGCTGCCCTAGAGCAGTATCTTTCCTGGGCCTGGCTTCCAGGCCAGTCCAACCCCCAAATTCCTGAGGACAAAATCTTTCCTGGAGGGATCCAGAACTTAGGAGAAATCCTGAGAACATCTGATCCTCATCTGACTTGGGCCTCTGTGGGAACTCCTGAAGACAAAAGCAATCTGGCCATTCCAATATAAAATCAAAAGAGAGAACCAGAAGCTTAGATGAACCAGCTTTTCATGCTCCAAAAGTAAACCACATAGGCCAGATGTGGTGGCGCACACCTTTAATCCCAGCACTTGGGAGGCAGAGGCAGGCAAATCTTTGTGAGTTCAAGGCCAGCCTGGTCTATATAGTGACCAGGACAGCAAGTGCTACAGGGAGACCCTGTCTCAAAAAGACCGAAAAGAAAAAGAAAAAAAAGTAAACCACAAAGGCACACAAAGTTCACAAAAAGAAGCAGACCTAAACTTGAAGACTTGAGTTTCACACAAGAATCAGAAACTACAAAAGAAATTCACATGTCAAAATCACAGAGAAAAAATAATATGAAAAATCAAAATAACTTATCCCCACCAAATACAACTAGTCTTCTAAAGGAGTACAATGAGAACCCCCTAGAGATAATGCAGGACACGGAACTCAAAAGAACAATTATAAACATGGTAAAAGAATTCAGTGAATTAAAGAACACACAAAGAAATCAAAGAACTGAAGGAAGATAGGGATAAACTTCTGAATGAATTCAGAAAAGAGCTATAAATATTGAAGACCACTAAGGCAGAAATGAAGAAGGAAGTGAAACACTCAGTAAGCCAATTGGAAACGACAGGAGAAAGCCTCACCAATAGGATGAACCAAAAGGAAAACAGAGTATCAAGACTGGAAGATAAAGTGGACGAACTGGACCACTCAAGGAAAGAGTATGAAAAATTTAGGAAAGCACAAGAATGGAATATGCAGGAATTGAGTGACACCATAAAAAGACCAAACTTACAAATCATAGGCATACAAGAAGGAGAAGAATCCCAAGACAATGGCAT